ATTATTATTATTATTATTATAATAATAATAATAATAATAATAATAATAATAATAATAATAATAATAATATTATTATTATTATTATTATTATTATTATTATTATTATTATTATTATTATTATTATTATTATTATTATTAGATGGATTTATATAGCGCAGATAAACGAGGTCTCTATGCGCTCGGGACTAGATGTTGCACTTTTCAATAACTTTCTCCTCCCCTGAGGTAACTTCATGTCCACCGCAGCCAGTAAACTGGCGCACTTTCATCCGTCCACGACAGGGGCCGAGTGAACCAGTACATCAGGGTAACCCCCTACTCATCTCGAAACTGGGTTCTTTAAAGTTTACATGAGCATTTGTGTACACTGGGCCTACGGTTTATAGTCGTTATCCGAGAAGACTTGTTCCACCACCAGAACTATAGAAGCGAGCCGGCCGCGAACCTGTGCCGATATTGTTGGCTACGATCACACGGTGCCGCTGTCTTAACCACACGAACATTTGGCTCGCTCAAAAAGACAACTTTTTTGGACTACAGTTTAGGTCCCCGATTCTACTTCGCAGCTTCCCTAAAAAATCCCAATCCGTCATTGAATACAATTAATGGATAATAGAAAATGAAATACTTCTTGTATGTCATGGCCGTCAATACAGAATTATGTTTTGGCAGCTTATGAAATTATTCTTTTAACGAACTTTTTTTTATTTCGTCATGAAGCTCATGGTTTATTACGTATAATAAAACACGGTGTTTGCTGAACGTGCTATTAACGTTTCTAAGTATAATCTTTGGGCTATCAACGGAAATCTTTGGCTTTTTACAAGTTAACCGTGTGACTGTTTGTTTTTTTAATATTATTATATTGTTTAATTAAGACATACATTTTGTGTTATCAAGCTTTCTAGCATAGTCCGTGGGCGATCATACAAATGTTTTGAATATTTAGGCCTTTAAATTGATCGATGATGCTGCTGCATAATAATCAGAAACAATCATAATCCAAAAAATAGCATCCAGCGCCTGCGGCCTATGACCCGTTGTCACACGATTACTCCATTCTCTTTGGGATTTACACGAGTGTAGTTTAGAGAGCATGAAATAAATAAGGTTGTAAAAAAGTAATTCATTTAAAAATAGCAAAAATGTATTCAGGACGATTTCATCTATAAAAACATCTAATTGATCACCATTTTTAATATTTTCAATATATTCTCCTTCTTTAGCGTATTGAACTTTACAAGGTTCTTTCTTTTTCATTGCACCCCAAAACAAAATCCCATGGTATAGGAATTCTCCGTTTTGCATGAATATCGTTATCATCTTTAATTAACATTGTCATCATCATTTTCAACCATCGCTAATTCACACTCCATTATATAGGACTGCATACTCCATTCTAAGATGATATACCGTAACCCTCGCATACTCCGTTCTAGAAAGACAGCCACCAGTCCAAAATATATGAATATGATGACAGTAAAATTATTCATCGGTTGCATCTGCTATATAGCATCATCATCGACTTAAGCAAACAAGCCTGGAAGATCTAGAACTTGGTAGGTCTTTACTTTCAAAATGCTCTGTAATTCCCTCCTCACGGTGTATCATTATGTCTTCACTAAACTCAGTCATCAACATAAATCGCAATATCAGAATTAATCCTAAAGCAGTTGTTATTCGAATTAGAAAATACGCTTTGTATTAATTTACAATGCTAATAAGTGAGAA